AGCTTTTTTTAACTACCCATGTATTGCAACTGTGGATACTTATTTTGGTGATCCTCCTGTGAAACGCTGAATGGTATTTTCCATAATTACTGTGACCCTTTCATCAAAATAAGGATACTCTCCATAAGTAACATGATTCTCCCATTCAAAGAATGATACTCTACAATGTGATCCTTTCGTCCAATGCTTGATGATATTTTTCATAATTAACAAAATCTCCCTTCAAAAGAATGATATTCTACATAATTAACGTGATCCTTCTGTCCAAAGAATGCTAGTACATAATTAAGGTGAAAACAACAAATAAAAATTTGGGAAGATAGTTGGATCCCACAATCTCCCACCAGGAAAGTAATCTCTGTTAGAGGGAATCATCTCCTCTCTCGGGTGTCAGAGCTTATAGATCCAGTGTCAGGTGACTGGGATTCGGGGCTGATAAACCAAACATTTTGCAGTGTTGATGCTCAGAGAATTCTTGCAATTCCACTACCAATATATGAAATGACAGACTTTTTAGCTTGGAGTTTCACTAAAACAGGCAGGTTCACCGTAAGATCAGCATACCACGCTATCTGGGAGTCAAAGTTTGGGCACAATCTGCAAGGTGCAGCGAGTTCTTCCTCGCCAACACCTACATGGGATTCGGTGTGGAGCTTGAGCTGCCCAGCAAAGGTAAAAAAAATTTGTTTGGAGAGCACTTCTTAGTGTTGTTCCATGCCGTGCAATATTGGCGGATAGACATATCAAGATCAAACCAAATTGTCCCGTATGTAACAAAGGACCGGAGAGTATCCGTCACCTGCTTTTTGTATGTCCAGTTGCGATTCAGGTTTGGAAACTGCTTGGAGTGTGGGATGTAATACAGAGGGGATTGGCGATGAATACTTGCGGGGAGGTTATGTTGGATTATCTTCTTAGCCTACCGGACGATCATATCCATGTGCTAGGATTGCCAAAATTGCGAGAAACGGTGGCTACATGCTGTTGGTACTTGTGGTGGGAAAGGAGAAAAATTACACATGGAGGTGACCCACAAACGGCGCCACATATCAATCTTGATGTACGCTCCTTGGCAGAGAACTTTATAGCAGCGAATTCACCACGGCCAAGAGTTCATTTGGGAGGTTGGATGAGACCAAGGACCGGGTATGTCAAGCTAAATGTGGACGCGAGTTTTGATCAAGACTTACTTGAAGGTTCAGTAGGTGCTGTCATTAGAGACCACAAGGGCAAGTTTATAGCTGCAGCAAATGAAAAACTTGGAGTCTGTTATGATGCTTTTACTACTGAGGCAAATGCAATCAGATTCGGCCTAAATCTTGCTCGCACAACTGGATGTAGCAAAGTTGAGGTGAATTCAGATAATTCGGACGTGGTTGAAGCGCTGAGAGAAGGCTACTCAGCTTCGGTAGCCAGTGCGATTTTTGATGACTGTTATTTCATGTCTTTAGAATTCAGTCATATTGTTTATGAGCATTGTTTTAGGGAGAATAATAAGGTAGCACATGAATTAGCTAGTCTAGCTAGATTCAATCCTCCTGATGTATGGTTGGATGATCCCCCGTCGGCTATCATCCCCTTAATTGTATCAGATGCTACTATTGTAGCCAATTAATAAAGGAGGTGTTTATCAAAAAAAGGCGAAAACAACAAACGTACTAAACAAAACCAAACTTACCATCATGACCACAGACTCCCCTTTAAGAGTAGAGATGTTTTGTTGTTCTTGTGTTCGAGTCATGGAACTATTGTGCAGCCGATGCTCATTGCACGATGAGTGGACGATGCTTGATCTGGTAAATGCGCTCCATCTTGTGCCATGCATGCACGGTTGGATCGATAGGATCGTCCAAAGTTCGGCTGCACCTGTCGTGTGTATAGCAGCGCTCTATTAGGAAGGGATACCCAAAGGATGATGTGTGGGAATCAATAAACCTACAACCTATATGAAACCTTGGCACACACATAGATCCAAGGGAAAAATCCAGTTGGTAGACCCACATGGGATATGCTGGTTTGCCATTGAGTTGGCCCAGAAGTGAATGGAGCTCATGTTTTGTGGGCTGAGACTCTCGAAGAGAAAGGCGAGACTTGATGTCGCGTGGTGCTTCAGTCGATTACCACCTCTCCAACGGAGATTAGCATCACAACGGGCGTGGACTTCGGTATACATCTCGCATGTCCTTTACTTTAATTATTTCCTTTCCAGAGTCTTATACCGTGGTCCTTATTACTTGTTGAACAAAATACACTAATCCTAAAGCCATTCGAGAGGTGTCAAGTTAGTCCTAATACTATGAAAAATGCACACATGGGTCCTAGAAGGGTGCTAAGTATGTCACCCGTAGTCCTATTCGCGCAGCTTCAGCTTTGATTTGCATGGGTGGCAGGTTGACCATTGCCATGTGGCAACTTTTTGCACAAAACCACCCCCAAAGGTCCTCTCATCTAATTTTGTGGCCCTCTTCTTTGCACAAAACCTACGCGGATAGGGCCTGGCCATCATTTTGACCAAGCCATCCATCATAATACCTCGATTCTCTCCCATGAGCCATTCATCGCCATCCTATCTGTGTTTGTCGTGGTCCCTCTCTCCCACATGAGGGCCGGGACACCCTCCCCACACAACGGCGGTTACCTTCCCCGAAGAGGGCGGCGGCAATGCACGCGGGAGGGCGGCAATGGTAGGAGGCAGGCTTCAGGCTCAGTCCTCCTCCTTCCATCCTGGCACGTAAATCTAGATGGCTCCATCCCTATTTACCTCCCAGACCAGACGATCCTTCCTGAGCGGCGAAGGTAGATACATTAGAGCGGTTCTAGTGTTGTGCCAAAGGAGTTCATCACGCTCATGATTTTCGGGTGCTGAGGTGGACTGTGGCCGTCGGAGGTGGAGAGGAAGGCAAGAGAGAAACTGTGTGCAAGGAGGAGGGCCATAAAATGAGAAGAGATGA